ATTTTTCGGTTCATAATTCATGGCTAAAAATTTCTCAAAATTTAAATTTAATATATTACTAATTGTATATTTCCTGGCTAAAATTACATTTCTTCGATGTTTTTTGGTCTATATTTCATGGCTAAGACATTTGGCTCAAATTTAATTCAATATATTACTATTACTAGTAATATATTTGTATTCCTGTAAGCGTAGAAAAAATTAAACTTTGTTTTTAGTAAATTAAATTTAAAATATTTTTTATAAATTTCGTTTTTTTTTCCTTTTTTTCAATAAATTTTACCAGAAAAATTATTTGTATGCGTTGAAAATTTAAATAAAAGAAAAAAGTTTATTTTTAAATTAATTTTTACATTAAATTTTCTTAAATTCCCTAATTTCATTTCCTTAAATTTTATTTCTTATTTTATATTTGCAATTATAAAAACTAATCATAGCTGTTAAAATTTTATTTGCTAAAAATGAGCAATATAATAAAAATAATGTGAAATAATTTTATTAATTATAAAAATTTATTATCAAAAAATAATTAAAACTATCGAAATTTTTTAAAACAAATTAAAAAAAAGGAAACAAACTTGAATATGTTTCATAATAGTATCATAATAATACGGTATTACTTCACTTTTTTCATAATCACAATTTATGCATTGTTGCCATAAATTATTGTTTACATTTACTAATCCAATCTGTAATTTATTCATTTTGTTTATTTTTTGGTAATTTTTTTTTTACAAAAATAATTAAGCATAATTAGGAACAAAAGAAAAAAAGAAACGAGAATTTAATAAAACTGTTTTTCTTTGTTTTAAAATTTAATTCATAAATAATTTTTCGTGTTACTTTAAAATTTTTATTCATAAAATTTTTTTTTCTTTGTCTTTATTTTACTTACATTTCGTTTTATTCTTCGTCGCCATATTTGTTGAAATTTTTGCATCTTTCCAGGAAATTTTTCATTTATTCCAATTGAGAGTAATGATTTACTTTGATTAATTGTACCTTGTAATGATGTAATTTCCAATAAACTATTATTATTTTTATTTGCATATTCTAATTTTGCTAATTGCTTATTATTAGCATGTTTTTTATGCTCTAAAATAGCCATATTTGATACACCAGCTGTAAGAATTGTTCGTGTTTTAAGCTTCTTCTTGATCAATGATCTATTGGTTGAATGATATTGTTTGCAAATTTCGGAATAACACTGAAATGAAATAATGAATTTGATTGGAATTAATATAATTTGAATGATGATCAATGATAAATTAAAATTAAATTATATGCTAATTAGTAATAAATATGATGACTATTTTTTTTTTTTGTTCCTTTTCTTATTTGACTATTAGTTACATCAATTGTTCGGTAATTTCCAACAAATAGTTATTATCTAATAATCAATTAGGTATTTAGGAGGTATGTATCTTCACTTGATATACATTGATAATTATATCTACTGATAAGATATTATCAAGTACTTTGGTAAAAATTTGAAAACTTAAACTACATAAATTAATTATTGCATGAAATTTTGATCTGATTGTTATAATTAAAATGAAATATTTGAGGACATTTTTTTTACTTATTTACTTATTTACT